GATACTTTGTTTATAGTATTCACCATCCCTCCTATTGAGACATGGTAAGGCCCATGGCTCAATATTGCAGCCCATTTGAACAATGATTTTGGTAAAATTGGTTTACCTTCAGGTGATACATATATTTCATTGACTTGTTGTGCTCCAGTGGCGCTTTGGCCCAGAGGCAATGTCTCTGTCATTGGTGTGGAACCCCAGGATTCACCTCCTGGGCAAGTTCGAATCCCGGTTAGGGCGGTTGGTACCTTCCAGTGGACTCACCACCCGCAGGAAGGTTTGGTACGGTGCAATGTGATTTGGGTGGCAACTGCTGCCCCCGCGACCCGGTAACGGATAAGCGGATGAAAATGGATGGATGGATGGATGTTGTGCTCCATTGTTTCCATAACATGTTTTTTTCTTTTTCTGGTGCATTATATTGCATATCTTTTAACACTTCTTGATCTATGGTTTTGTCTTCACAAAGTAAATTTGATGTACTTGGTTCAGATGTCAATTTCATCTTCAAATTGATTTCCTTTTGAAATGTCAGCCATTCCATTTGTATGTGCTATACATTTACATGATGTAACCATGCCGCGATTTTTCCACTGTTGTGCAAACACATGCAAAGTTGAAAAAGCATACTGGCTGTCAGTCCAGATTGTAGCAATTTTCCCTTTCATAAATTTACAGGCTTCTGTTAGTACTACTAATTTAGCTGCTTGTGCTGAGTAATGGTTGGGAAGTTGTGTTGCTTTTAACACTTTTGTTTGAGTTACTACTGTGTAGCCTGTTGCGTTCATGCCATTTGGATTTTTTCTACTTGAGCCATCTACAAACAATACATGTGAGTTTGGAATTGGTTATATGTTTTCTTGGTAAATGTAAGGTTTCCCTTTCTACCACACAATCATGTGGTTTGCCTTCTTCCTCTGTAGGAAGTAGAGTTGCTGGGTTTAGCACCGTACACCGTTTTATGGTCACATGGGGTTGTGATAACAGTGTTGCCATACAGGAGTGATGCCGAGAAAGGAATGTCATCTTTGTTTGTAACAACAAAATGGAAACTGCAAGTGGTGATACATGGAGGTAAGGCCTGAGCCACTGAATCAAGTTTAGCTGAATAATATGCTATTGGTCTTTTACTTCCACCATAATCTTGAAGTAGCACTGATGTCATGAATTGTCCTCTGTAATCCACTGTCTGGGTAAAAGATTTCTTGTAATTTGGTAAGGCCAAGACTGTAGCTCTGGCCAAAACACGTTGTTTTTGAGGCCAATAAAATGTCATCTACATAGAACAAAATTTTACTTTTTTCAGGTGGTTCAAATTTTGCCATACAGCTTGATATGGCTGAATAGATGGTTGAGCTTTCTGCGTAACCTTGAGGTAGTCTTGTATAAGTGTAACACTTTCCCTCAAATGTGAATGCAAACCAAAATTTACTTTCTTTTGCAACTGGAATAGAGAACCACTACTGTGAAGAACTTTGCTTCAGGGTTTAGATCATTCAGCAGGGTATGTGGGTCGGGGACCACAGGTGCTCTCTGAATGACGGCATTGTTCACTGCCTGTAAGTCTTGTACCAATCTCCGTCCGTTAGATGGTGCTGCTTTCTTTACTGGAAAAATATGTGTGTTACATGGTGAATCATTGCATTCTATAAGTATTCCAGCTTTCAAGAATTACTGGCTTTATACCTTCTTGCGTCTGGTTTAATTGGATATTGTTTTACGCATGGTCTATATTCACTGTTTGGTTTTATTATCACTGGTTTGCATGTTGTTAATAGTCTTACATCCGCATTGCCTTGTGACCATAATGTTGTCGGTATTTCTGCTAAGAGGTTCTCTTCTTCTTTTGTCAGTAGAATTTGTCAGGACATTTTCTCTGTATCTCTTATGTGTGTTGCAATCATTGCTCTTGCCACCCAATTAAGTGGAATTTTCCACAAGTTCAGTGCAGGGCTGTAGTAGGTGTTATCTGTTTGCCATTCCCTATCAAGACGGTATGCAGCTGAGGTAGCTATCACGCCCAGTCGTTGCCATGACAATCCTTTTTGTTTTGCTAATGAAACATGGCTCACTGTACTTGCTGCATGTAGTCTCTCTGCTTCTTCTGAAACCTTGACAACAACAGCTATGCACTCTTTATCTGTTATTATGTCTTGAATTAGAATTTGTTGAGTTTTCAGTTTGTGCACCTTTTTATCAAAATCATCGTCTTGCCATGGAGTGTGCTTAAAATGCAACGTTACATGTAGTTTGTCGACTTGTTGGATTTGGTCTGGCATTTTTAACAAATCTGTTATTTTGCTAAGCAATGTTGTTGGGACACTCAAAGGCGGACCAGTGTTCAAATCTAATGACCAATAGTTTGGCGTGCCTGTTCCTTCCACAACCATAACATAAGTGTTTATTTTGTCTATTCTTTTCAAAGTCTTTCTACCAGTCTCAACGGGCACAATCGCTGGTGTAACTGTGGCATTGCATCTCTCCCTAATAAGTTTACTGGACAATTTGTTGCCAAAATAATTTGCACTCGGCATTTATTTCCATTTTCTGGATCTGTGAGAGTTACAGGATTAGTCAGTGGACTTTTTGTAGTCAGTCCATTTGCTGATTTAACAAAGATAAAATCTTTTGATTCTGTTGTGCCTTTTAATTTTTCACAGCACACAGTTCTACATGTTCCTGTGTCACATAAAAAGGGTTTTTTTTTTCGTTTATTATTAGTTCAACTTCTGGTTTACTTGGATCAAATAAGAGAATTACTATGTCTATGAATAAACTAATGTCTCAATTCCATCAACATGTTCTTCTGTTTGTTTTTTCTTTTCCTCTTGTCCTTTTAAATGCAATATTAATTCTCTGAAAAAATGCCCGCATTCTATCTTTTAATTCTGCACTTTCAGGTTGAAGTGCTGTCGGAGGATATCCTGTCATTGGATTCCAATCACCTTGAACTCTAGCCCAGTCTTTACCTGTTACTGCCTGAAAAATCTGCTGAACTTCAGCTCCATTCAGGCAGTAAGAATTAATTAACTGTTGCATATCTGCTCAACATTGCTCGGGGTCTTGCTTATATGATGCAATGTCTGCAGTTGCTTTTATCACATCATCTTTTGTCCAGGTTCTATATATTTTTATAGTGAGTGGTGCCTTTGGATCATTTGGATCTCGTGCGGGATCAGCCACTTGTATCATGGGAAAGGCGTCTGCAATGTTATCATAATTTGGTATTACTGGTGGAGATGGGCTTAAAACATGTGTTTTCTTTGATTGGTTTTAAATTTGGATACAAAGGTTGGTAGGGAGGGGAGGATTGAGAACGTGTCATACGTTCATTTGTATTTGCATTATCTGAAAGTGGAGTTGCTGTATCAGCACGTTATATCTCCTTTTATCTCAGCATCATCTAAAAGTGGAGACGTTTTATCAGCACACTCTCGGTTCTTGTGTACGTTTGACGCTATTGTTTCATTGTCCTCAGGTCAGTTATAGATAGTTTTGTTTTTGCTCACATTTGATTGTGGATTTTTGTTTTGACACATTGCTTCTGTTTTAGTTGTTTTAGTTCTATTCCATTTTTTCTTGCACAAGCTTGTTTAAGCCAACATTCAGCCGCACTCAGCCCAAGCTTCTCTTCTTTTTTTATATAATTGTTTGCCTCTTTTTTATGGCAAACACAAGGTGTTTGCAGTCTTCTTGGTTCAATTTACCCTCAAAACCATACTTTTTCTGCCAATTATTTAAATATGTACAAGACTCTGAATTGTACCTAAACATGTACTTAACATCCCCTTTAAACTCCGGAGTATTTGTCTTTTTGTTACATAAGTTCCCCATTTTGATTTCTTATTTTATTCAATTTTTTAGTTTTGAAATGTTTTATTTTATTTTACGCTGCGCAAAAACCCTAAAAAAAAAAAAATCTTAATAGTTGGTTTTGTGATCTACTTCAACTGATCAGCAGTTGTACGTGTTTATACCGTAGGTTTCAGACTGCCCGCTGATTCGATCATGACAGTCACACACATTCACATTATCTTTTTTAGGCCTTTGGCATCTAGGGACTGCTGCCCAGGGACTCCAACCCTCTTAGTTCTAGGGTTTGCTGTCCAAGGATTTTCAACCCACGTAGTTCTAGGGATTACTGCCCAGGGTTTTGCAATCCACTTATCAGCATTTAGGGATTACAACCCATATTTCAACCACACGCTGGTAATAAAAAGTTGTTTCTCACCCTCGTCATCGATCGTATTCTGGTCTCAGATGCCATCAATCAGGCCTAGGATCAGGTGTCGGCGTACTGGCATGAGTGAGAATTCACTCCCCAGGTCTTTCCCCAGAACCTGGTTCTGGCCGTGCACGTTCTCCACCCGATCTTTAGGTTCTGCTTAATGTGTTGGCATCTGGCTCGAAGGACCAAGTTATGTCAGGATTATTCTAACATAAATGACGACAAAGTAACAACACAAAAGACGTCTGGATCTTTTTCTTGCAAGGGGAGAGTGCAGCTTATTCTTCTGGCAGCTTCCTCATCAACTCCGAGTTGCTGCACCCTTCCTCTGCTCTTTTATTTAGTTTACAAAAGTATCAGATTACATATCATTTGATTTTGTGTGAATATATGGGGTAAAAATGCTGGTAAAAAAATGGGGTAAAAGGCTGGATGTGAAAATGGGTGTGAATGGGGTTGTGTCAAGGAAAAGATGGGAAGCAACTTGCTTCCCATCTTTTCCTAAGCAGTTTCTTAAAGCGACAGAAACACATTGGAGTAAATATGGAAAGCAAGCAGTTTGTTAAAGTGATAGTACAGCATGAAGCAATGATAATAAATGCAATTCTTCCAACATCCATTCAATTTCAGAAAGTAATCATTGTTTCTGAATTAGTTAGTTAGTTAGTTTAACATTGAGAAGGAACATGCATGTCACTAAAGTTAAACAAAGTTTGATAAAAAAATTGATCACTGGTCTGATGACACATATTCTTGACACCTTGTCTCCCTTCAGGTCTCTACAGGACTTGTCCAGACAGACAGAGTTGCCTTATGGTACAGTATACGACTCTGCAGTTTATGATCAAGTCCATGCCAAGGCTCTGAACCCCTTTGAGAGAGACCCGATGTACGCCCAGATGTGGCGAATGATTAACCACACAGGAGGAGTGGACAATAACGTTGAGGAGTCCAGAGAAGGTATTCTGAAGGTAGGTCTGGGCTTTTTGATGAAGGGCCAGGTAATTCTAAACACATTTACTGTAGGTAATAACTCGACAGCATTTAACCTAGACATTTTCAATATTCAAAATCAATATTTATACATTTAAAAAAATCTGTGTATTACTGAAACAGAAAGACAAATGACAGCAGTTAGATTTGTGTTCTGGCGTGGCGACTGTTGAACAAGCACCAAAACACATTCCTCCCCAGTCAGTTTTAAAAGCACTTACGAGTCCCTGGGGATGGGTTGTATGCCGAGAAAAATCGCTGATGTGTGTATTTGTGTATGTTTATATAAAATAACAAATTCTTAATATTATTGATGTTGGCTTGTAAAAGGTGTCATGTTTTGCTTTCAAAACCTTTGTGAAGCTTTCCACCTACATAATATTAGCTAGTCTACAGCAGTGTTCCCCAACCTTTTTTGAGCCATGGCACATATTTAGCATCAGCAGCATGAAACCTGTGCCTGTTTAGTTAAACCCAACCTTAATTTACTCTCAGGAATTAAAATAAAACACGCACACAAGAAACAACTTCTTCAGCAGCTTCAAGTCTTTCTCTTATTTTAGTTTTTAACAGCCATCTGTTGCCACCTAGTGTAATATATTTTTGACCTACCACTATTGCATAGCATATCACATTATTTGCAGTAAAAAAAACAACAAAAAAAAAACAATGGTTTTCAGATTAATGAAGTGAAATTGGATAATATTCCACGGTACACTTCAAAATCAGAAGACTTCAAAGACAGAAGACTTCAAGGTGGAGGTGGGACTACATCAAGGATCGGCTCTGAGCCCCTTCTTGTTTGCTTTGGTAAAGGACAGATTGCCAAATGAAGTCAGACAGGAGTCCCCATGGACTGTTTTTTGCAGATGACATTGTGATTTGTAGTGAGAGTAGGCAGCAGCTAGAAGATAACCTAGAGTGGTGGAGGTTTGCACTACAAAGATGAGGAATGAAGGTCAGTCGCAGCAAAACAGAGTATGTGTGTCAACAAAAGGCAGAACAGGTTACAAGGAGCAGAGGTGGTGAAGGTGTAGGTACTTAGGATCAACTGTTCAAAGCAGAGGAGACTGTGGAAGAGAGGTGAAGAATAGAGTACAGGCAGGATGGAACAGCTGGAGAAAAGTGTCAGGAGTGATCTGTGATAGAAGAGTGTCAGCTAAGGTAAAGGGAAAGGTTTACAGGACAGTGGTGAGACCAGCCATGATGTATGGTTTAGAGACGGTAGCAATAGGCAGAAGACAGGAGGGGGAGCCGAAGGTGGCAGAGTTATAGATGCTAAGATTATCTCTAGGAGTGACAAGAATGGACAGGATCAGGAATGAGGTCATTAGAGGGACAACACAGACAGGAAGGTTTGGAGACAAACCTAGAGAAGCCAGATTGAGATGGTTTGGACAGAAAACACACCTCACACATATATTTATTTATCTGATTGACCTTATCCTGCATATATTATACAGATAATGACAATTATTAGACTGCAGCAGGGCTGTGTGTACCACATAGGATACAAATACTAGTACAAAATGATCAGTTTACAGCCTGGCAAATAGAATATTAAAGTAGCTAGTGCAGGTAAATGTTCCAGAATTCTCCCCAAAGTCCTATTAAAAACAATTATACCAAACAAGATTTAAATAATTAAGTATCAGTTACAATGCCATAAAGGGAAGTATGATAGAAAGTGTGATAAAGTTTAATTACATTAAAACTCTATATAAAGCACTGACGGTGAAAATGGGGCAAATGGTAAGAGTTTAAAACAACAAATCAAACTGATAAAATTGTATTTAAAACTATAGACATGGAATCCCTCAGTGTATGAAAACAATAGGATGAAGCCCATTTGACATTAATGTTTTTACTCACAAATCAGAAATCCTATAAAGGTTTAAAAAGTCACTATAAATCACAGCTCCAGTTACCTGTATGATGAACATTCTGGAGTCAGCAGCTGCCCCCAAAGAGCAGGTTCAGCTGTTTTCTACTGGACTGGTGCAGATTAAATCTGCATCCATTTAACACAGGGATGCCAGACCATTTGAAAGCAAGTAATCAAATCCCAGGCCGATAAGATTATACACAAATAGGACAAGAACGGAGTCCTCTGAACATGAACAAGTAGTGTTGAGGGGAGTGGGATAGATACAAGTTTAATCCGTTCCACAATAGCACTTATGTCGATCCACTTGTACTGTATGTAGATTGCATTTTCCCCATTAAAAATAACTAAAAACCAATTGTTTCGTTCCAGCCCCCAGATATATAATACTAATTAATTAAATCATAATATATATAAACATCATAATCATAATATATATAATAATCTAAACATCAAATACATAGATATAAACAAATATATTGATAATATAAAAAATAATACTTAAAAAAAACATTTTATATTATTGTTATAAAAATGGGTAAAATAACCGAGTGTGGGACAGTGAGCAAGACTGCAATCATGATTAATCACAGAAGAATCACAGTCATGACCAACACATTTTCAGAATAATCTTCACAAATTAACACGATTAATGCATGGATTCTGTCTGCCCTAGTTTTAAAATATTTTAGTTTTGAAAACCATACATGTTTTTAAATTTTCTAAGAACATTTTTACATTTGTTGTACAATGGTTTAGTAAAAAGGCCATTAAAAACAGCAAATTAGATACAATAGGAAACATTATATTTTCACATTGGGATTTGAAAGTATAAAATTAGTATAACTCTGTGTTAGGCACCATTGATCAGTCAAACAATAATGCTGCTGTGGCTTTAATGTATATAAATGTGTTGCTGCTGCAATTTGCACTGCTATGTATTAGGATGACACAATCCTAATGGGAAGACCAGACTAAATGCTATGTGACCACGAAGTCAATTCACATGGCTGCGCTTCAGTAGCTGCAGGGACAGACACAGCATAAAGAACTGGTTATAGACACGGCAGATTTGGTTTCTCCGGGGCCAAAAATCTCAACACTTGCAGCAACAAGAGAACAAATAGCGGAGGAGGAAGGAAACTGTCCCTCTTGACACTATTTTTCTCTTTTTTTATTTTTTGTCTTTCTTACTTTGGTGTTTATCTGCTCACTGTCTGATTCCACAATCCATGTGTCATTTATTTTGAAGATGTCTCTTTCC